TTTTATTTATAATACCAAGAAAATTGTATTTTTATACACCAGATATAACTGATCCTAAAAGTCAGACTATAATATTTTTACGGGTCTGAAAACATTAGTTTTAACCCTGCTGAGAAGTCTTAGGTTGATTTACGCTTCATAATTGGTTATAATTGGTTACTGTCCCTTTAAGAATAAAGGCGGAAACTGGTCCGGCACTTATATCGCCCCGCCTGTTCACTTCCGCTGTAGCCTACGTTCAGTTAGCACCCAGCTTCAGTCGATGAGCTGATCGATTTATACCTTATCTGTCATTTAAAGCTACGTTTTTTCTCCTCATTATCTTTATTAAATAAAACCGCATTTTTATAAGTCAACCAGTCGGTTATATCCGGTTATATCCGGTTCTACAGTGAGAGAGGGAGTGAAGTTAAGCCACAATGGCCCCGAAAAGCGGTGAGTCCGAAATATTTCTTAAATTCCGCAAAATGTCGATTTTATACTTTGTTAAAAATCGATGTTTGTTTATTAATACCGTTAAAATTAATCTATTTAACCTCGGTGATGACATACAGTGAGGACAGGATTGAAAGATTAATTTTTTGACGTTATTTATAAAAGCAGAATTGATTTATAACTCGAAGGGTGTGTAAATGATCTAACGGTTATAATAGCAATAAGACATAAAAAGCCCAGTTTGGGTTGGATTGTCTCACATTGGACTCTGTATTACTTTAAGCTGATGAGGTAATGCTCCTGTTTACACTTCAGGGTCTGAAGGCTGACCAGCCCGCCCACATCACCAGCCCTCCACACCGTGCTTAAAGCTGGGCTTTTGTGCTCTGCATTGGGAAAGAAAATATCTCCCTTTAAAAAAAAATTATGTGATTAGAATAAAGCTCATCAAACTGAACGTGATTTGGTGTTCTAGTTTTCAGTGGGATGTTCTTTTATTTTCCTTGGGATTCAGCTTCACACAGACAACTTTGATCTCTTCTCCTGCAGCTTTTCCTCGCTGTCGTCATGGATTCTGAGAACGACATCCTGTCGAAGGAGTACCTGAAGATGATGACGGATATGATCGTGCTGTGTGCCACTTTGGCGCTGTCTCTCTTCTTCTGGATCCTCTCCCTCACCATGAGCGCCGTGTCTGGTAAGCTGCCTGTAGGCCAAAAGCTTTTCTGTCTGGATGTTTGAAAGCTTGTGTGAATTTATCTTCTAAAACTGAACTGTGAAATCATGTGCTCTTCTCTGAATCCTCCTGAAGCCCTTTCTGTTTAATAACGAGGTTCTTCTTGGACACGCTTTAAAAATCTGCTTATTTCCTGCAGTTATTAAGAAGCCAGTCTAATTTTTCACTCTGACTGTTGCTTTTAAGTTCTAACTTAATTTGGCAAAAAAAGAGGAGATGTTTTGGATTTACTTCCTCTGATGTAATAAAATAAAAGCATTGCCACAGCATAATGCTGCCTCCAACATGCATCACTATGGCAGCTGTATTTAAACAGCCTGACCAAAGCCAGATTCTTCTGACCTAATTGAAAATTTTTATTTTAAATTCTCTGTTTGTATCTCCGCCAAATCATCTGCTGAACGGATCAGAGCAGATTTGGGTTTAATCGGCATCTATTGCCCACAAATCTGTCCCCATGTTGAATGTAGATTTGAAATCCCACTATTATTATTTTTGCGCTTCTTAATCCTGAAGAATCTGCAGAAATGTTGGTGTTGTGTTGAAGACGCTGACTCTACGGGGTTAATAGGATGCGATCAGAATCACTGTGTTTGCAGCTGTTTTCTGCAGTTTTATGGTTTGATTCGGTTGGTTTTCCACGGTCTTTACTCTTACAGAGTGCTAAGTGATGTTTTTAAAGTGTATTTTGTTCTGATCAGATTGGTTTCTTTCACATCTTTGAGGCTAAATGTCAAAGAATTTCCCCTCCGGTACGATGATGAAAAGCGGCCTTGTTTCTGCGCAGCGTAGAGCCGCGTTGTAAGGAGACTCCGCTGATGAGCTTCAGGTCCTCCATGGTTGTCTTCAGCCATCTTTACCATCAATGCTCTTCCTTCTCTGCTTTGAAACCAGAGGGATTCTGTTTCAGGAACCGCCTAATGCTTTTATTACCAACTGATGCTTTTTAACTAAACCTATCAAATGTATTTATTCATTTTACTCCCACTGTATTTTTCTTGCCCTATTTACTTTTTAGTTTTTGAGATTTGGAGAAAGATTCTCTTATCATCAGAGTATTTTTGTTCTAAAGGGAACCTGCAGCCGGTGTCACCGTGGCGATGGTTGTTCTCCATCTTGGTTCCCCTTACACTGACGGGTCGAGCGTTAAAGAGACGCAGTCTGGACCGGTCAGGAGCTCTCGGAGGTGAGTTTATGGGGGCCTTTTACCCTCTTTATAACTTTAAAGCGCAAAAGATTTTATTGGGATTTTCAACAAACGCAAAATAGAGAAAAAAATAAATTACATATGTACGGCTCTGAAAAGTGCAGCGTTCCTTCCGTATTCAGAACCCTGATTGGATCTTTTTTTTTAGGCTAAAAACAGAGCGCCTGATCATCATGTTTAAATCTTGCCTCTTAGACTGATTACTGTCTGGACTTTGGGCCATTTTAACAAAATAAAAACAGGCCTTAAAAGCAGTTTTTCTTCCTATCAGTTGACATCAGAGGTGCCATGAAAATCCTTCTTCTCTCATTTCATCCGACCATTTACTCAGAAAGGAGACGATCAAACAGAAACAACTTGAAACCCAACAATTCTCCCTGTGTTCAGGTTTCAATAAGACATATTGTTTTAAGCATTTGCACAGAAAGTTCCTGACTTAAACTGCTGACATTGTGAGCCTCATTAAACGGGAAACTTCAGCATCTTGACTTCGCTGCTACAAAGAAATCCTCAGTGAAGATGAACGCTCAGCAGAAAGCCCATTTTCTAGAGGTTAGGCTCGGTCACCACATGGACGCACATGTTGATCTCTTGAAATTAGAAGCACAGAAACATCAAAATCTGATCTTTGCGGCATCCATAGGGTTAGCATCTCTGAACCCAGTTAGTGAGCTACGAATTATGTTTCTGTTAAAGTTGAGCTGCTTTACTGCTGTATAAGGACATCTCAGGCAGCATTTTATGTTTTATTTGTGCTTTTAATCATTTCAGAGGCTGTTTTTTTCCAGGGTGGAACAAGAAGACAACAAACTGTCAACATGGATTCTCCATGTAGTGACAGAGTTAAGGTGTGCATAAAACCGGACGCATCGCTGCGAGTTATCTTCAGCTACCGATGCGTAATGTGATGCAGAGAAAAGGCTAATATCTGGATGCATGGCTTGGAAAGGAAAGCTCTAATCTGAGGACTTAGAAAGTCAACGTTCTGCCAGGTGCAGGTCAAAGTCGAGAACACGGGTAGAGGTGCAAAGTCCAGCCGTGTTTGATGAGCTCGTCACAAAATATGCTTCACAAACTTTCTAACATGAAGCTAATGTCTTTGTTTAATTAGCTAACAGTTTGCTAACATGATGCTAGCTCCTTATTTGTTGATATTCATTAGCTGTTGATGTTCTGGAAATGATTAGCATACAGTGAACGTACCTTTGTGTGCGACTCACAGACAGATCAATGATGGAACGTGAGCGAACATCACTATTCAAACTGCAGGGTTTTTTCCACAGTATTAATGCATTTTACGGAACTACGAAACATTTTGGGCCTAAAATAACATAGAAAGCTTAAAAAAAAAAGGCTTTATTCTTTAGTCTATTTTCCATAAAGGTGTCAGCTTCTATGTATTTAACCTGACATGTTTAGCAATGATATTGACACAGTCCTCTTGGCTCACTGAGGAGTTTGGCCTAAAAATAAAATGGAGGCCAAACTCCTTTTATTCAATAGCAATTTGGATTTTTCTGCCCAGAAAATTAAATATAAATATAAATCATTAAAAACT